CCGCCGCCGCCGCCGCCGCTTTCGTCTCCGCTGCCGCCGACTACGACGGCGACTTCGTTCATGCCGCCGCTGCCGTTTTCGTTGCTGCCGCCGTCGTCTTCGCTGCCGCTGCCGCCGACTACGACGGCGACGACGCCACCGCTGCCGTCGACGACGATGCCGACGACGACGCCGCTAATACCACCACCACCACCACCACTATCATCGTCGCGGGAAGTTCTTCCATTTAGAAAACGTGAGTGCAACTTATTTTTATATTAATAAAGACTCAATTTCTTAAATTTTACTTCTGTATTTATTTTATTATATACTTATACATTTTAAATATTTCAGCTCGATGGCACAAAGGCGGAAGGGGACAGCGAGGCAGGGGACAGCGAGGCAGGGGACAGCGAGGCAGGGGACAGCGAGGCAGGGGACAGAGAGGACGAGGACGCGGCCAAGGATTGGCATTTGCAAATTGGACGGGAAACATAAACTTTTATAGCCAGTGATACATACATCAGTTTCGGGATTTTTGTATTATAACCACATAAGTATTATCCTCTTATTACTTTCTCTTCCAATTATATAACGAAATATAATAATTCTATTATAACCACATAAGTATTATCCTCTTATTACTTTCCCTTCCAATTATATAACGAAATATAATAATCAATAAAAATCACTGTTATTAATTACTTCTGGCGACTTTTAAGAATACTTTTACTAGCTAATTTATTAAGATATCGGACGAAAAGAAAATTAGACAAGCGGCCGGATTATATATTAACGAGAGTCTACTTTCATTTCTTTCTCTTCGATTATTAGATCAGTTAGGATTTAGAAAAGCTTCAATCTTAATACAGAGATCGTTCGCTCTCCCCGTATATACGTACTATACGGCGGTACAGAAGTCCGCGCGAAGTGATGTACGCTCCTCGCGACGTTATCCGCTTGTATTCGAACTCTGAGCGTAACCGGTCGATCAATAGGTACATTTCTGATGAAGCAAGAAGTCTCGGAGTCTCTGTACACTGTCTCGAACTTGCTAGACGCCGGGTCGAGGATCTCGCCGTTGGCTCTCTCCACGACAAACGTCTGTTCCTCGAAGTACTCCGGATTGGTTACGTGCCATTTGACGAACAGCCCCATCGGTCTCTCCTCGATGTTTATTATCTGAACGGGTACCGTGCGAGAGATGCAGCCGAGCTTCGATATCTGTTCCACAATCTCCTCCTTGCATGAGCTCAATTGCCGGTCGAAATTTATATTCGGGAGCTCCTCCGAGTACGGTACCGCCGGGATCTTTGGAAATAATTGATAAAGCTTAGATAATCCACGACGATCTCGGTAATCTTTGTATTATACCGTCGCGAGCCTCTCACCTGCCTATATCGTTACTCGCGGAAATGATCTTTCCAAGTCCGTTCGCGCTGTATCGATGCGGATGCCGCAGAATATCGTCGCTCATCGATATGATATTCCGTGCATTTTGTACCTGTGCCTGCACTTCCTTTCTACAAGCCCGCAACGGTATTAGACTCTCGTGTTTATGAACTTCGGTCTCCAGTATCAGCTGTTCGCGTCTCTTATTGATCTCGTCGTACACATCATCTAACAAAGATTGAAACGTCCCGTCTATATCTTTTAACGTTCTCATCACACTATTTTCTATTTTGCTCCGCGTGTTTTTCAAAATTCTCAAGCTGCCTGCAAAACATATCTGTTTGTGAGATCTATTGCTAAAAGATTGAACAACAGCATTTTGATACAATCGCGACGATCTTACTTCATTAGATTTGCATTCTGCTCATGTACCTCCATATTTATCCTGTTCACGTCGATTAACTTTGATTCTCTCGCTTCTAAAATCTCTGTCATCTCCTGCACGCGTTTCAGCAGCTTCTCAATCTCCATATTCGCTTCGTCCGAGCCTACGCTGATCTCGCTCAGTTCTCGAGAATGGCCCCGGGTCTTTAAAGTTTTCGTTAGCAGATCGCCGCCTTTGCTCAATTGTAATTTTGCCGGACTCTGTCGCGATTGTGTCGAACTCGAATCTCCGTTAGGACTGTCAACAAATAACACATTAAACGTCGGCACATGGCACGGAGAACAAGAGATATTTTACTACATTTGTACCTAGATATTATCTCAATATCGCTCGACGTTGTGGTCTCTAACTCGTCTCCGCTTGTGTGTCTGCTGGCCTGATTAGACCCGATTTTCACCAGATCGGAACGGCTGTGAAAGAAGCAGATTTTTAACAGAGAAACTGCTATTCACTTGAACGGCGCGAATCAAATAATACCTTTCTGACGATATCGGTGAATTTTCTCGCGGCACCTCCGCGCAATGGGTCTCCATATCGATTATCTCGCCTTTCTCGACCATAGCGTCGGCCAGCATAGTCTTCACGTAAGAACTGGTGGTCAAGGGCGTCTCGAGAATCTTGGAATCGTCCGTACAGATCAACGTCGCGTTATCCTCCGAGCTGCTCTCTAACAAGGTACCTTCCCTGCTCGAATCGATGGATATTAAATACTGATCGGTACTACTCTTGATCATCTTCGTCTCTTCCATGCTTTCGACTTGACTGTTCGGGTCCGGTGGCTCTATAGTGGTGCTCATTAATTGGGAAAAGGTGGAAACGTCCGGTTTCTCGTTCACCTCTTCCAGTGGGTCCGACTTGCGAATCGGTTGCGTGGTAATCGGCTCGAGCGTCAGGTGCAGATTGTGCTTCTCCTTGAGCGAGTCAAGGCTCAAGTTCAACCTGCTCTTCATGCAAGTCTTGGCCGATATTTGCCTGTCATCCGGATACGAATCGTGCATCTTTATAGGTACCTTGACGTTCATATCAGCCAGTTCCACCTTATTTTTAGCCGCGTCCAGCTGCTGCAGCGGCTCGAGCACCGTCATGACCGTGCCTTCAGAAGCCGAGGTGTACAAATCCTTGGCCAGGCTCACCTTGTCCGGTATCACCTCCACGCTCTCCGGGGAAGTTTTGGAACTGTCTGCCGCGTGCGACGAGCTCTTATTCGTGTCTAAGCTGGAAAACGCGCTGGGTGACGGTGTGTTATCAATAATGTACGAGTACGGACTGACGTTCAATGTCTTGGCCTCCTCCATTGGAGAGTCGTACGGGGAAATGTCGGATGACGATGCGAGTAGATCCCCGTTCGGCGGTTGTAGCGCGCAGTCCACGCACAGAGTGGCGCACTCATTCCCGCCCAGGACAGGTAACGATTCCAGATTTTTCGGGTCTATCGGCGACAGATACGGACTGCTGTCACTCTTCCAGTCACCCAGGATTTCCACGGAGCTCGGCGACGTTACGAGACTGTCCGGCAGTATCTCGACCGACTCGGAATTCACCTTGATGTCGACGACGGAGGGACTCAGCAAATTGAGATCCGACTCCAGCCTGGTGGTGCAATCGGTGTTGGACCGCGAGCCGAGTATCTCCAGACTCTCCAGCCTCTTCTTGTCGCTCTCGGAGGAGACGTTGGGTACTCTGTGGAACACATTAGTGGGACTCAACGCGAGATTGACATCGTTGCTCTCTAGCTCGTTGTTGCGCTGTCCCTGCCCCTTTGCGCCGCTGCTCGTTGTGGAATCACTGTCGGTATCCTCCGCCGTTGGCGCGTAGTATATCTGTTCCACGTCTAAACTGCCACTTTTAGTTACAATCCTGTCCGTACTGATAGAGACAACGTTGTCCAGAGACGACTGCTCTGACAACGCGCATGACTTCGACGCGATTCCATCGTCGGACTCCTTAGACAGGCTCTGATTCGTATTTACAGACTCGCTGGCAGCGCTGGACTCCCCTTCATCTTCCTTATGTACAAACTCACTCTTCGCTATCGCAGGTCTCGAGTCCTTCGCCGCCAGTTTCTTGGGGTAGAATCAAGTTACCGACAATCGTATCGGATCCGTTCACCGTTATGTTACTAAAGCCCGTATCAGACTACGGATTGAGATTGGGATTAGATTGAAATTTGACCAATCAGAGTAAAAGTTACTGAACTTGAGATTAGTAAACTTTACTGTTAATTGGTTATGGTAAATGATTGGTTAAATTTCAATCTAATCCCAACCGTTGCACAGAGGTTTGGTTCACTCTATCACTCTATTTACGGGCGCTCGTATTAGTCGGTAACGTCAGTCACGTCAGCCGCGCTTGCGAGCGCCACGCGCGGCAGACGACGTTTCTTAACGCGAATTCACAACCGCGGACCTAGCATTGCAAGCAATGGCCTAGTTTACATCGATCACTTGGTACGCGTATCAAATAGTAAATAACTAGTAAATCAGTTTAATCATTGGCTGATCAGCTCAAATACACTACTTGATACGCGTATCAAGTGCACGATGTAAACTAGGCCAATATCTCCACACACGGGGCACGTATATTAAGCCCGCTGCAGACGATGCTATTTTTCCTGCTGCATTGCTTGCGATTTACTAAATTACTAGGAATCCTGAGTGCTGAATGGTGCAACGATAGTAATTTATTAGATCGCAAGCAATCCAGCAGGAAAAATAGCATCGTCTGCAGCGAGCCTTATACAAATCGTACCCAAGCTATCGAATAAGCGCAGTTTCAAGTTCGTTGGATCAGCCGTTGTTGAGATCCGAAATTCCGAGGGCCCGTCAACTCGCGCACTTGCGTAAACTACACGGTCGGTCTCGCGCGCGTGGTCTAGCTTGTCACTTTAAAACTTTCGTTCGCTTATACTTCGCGCGAGACACTACCGTGTCTTGTGATGTATAAAATATATGTTAACTTACCTATATGTCTATCCAGTACAGCGAATTGTGTACAGACGATATTTTTGTAGAGAAGATGTACAGACAATATTTTTGTATAGAGAAGAAAGATGTTTTTGTAGAGAAGATACTTTTGCAGAAAAGATAACATTGGAACTTAAACTTAGCGCTTTTATTTACCTTTTTTTAAAGGTAATTTTTTAGGTGATATCACTACTTTTGTAGTGTTAAATATCACGTACTGTTTATTTATCAGAATATAATTGTGCACAATTTTTATATTTTATTACGAGAGAGAACCTCGAAATGACCGATTGTGTGATTTTAAACGCTAGGGAATAATCGACGACTTTGTACGGAGCCTTCTTGCGTTCCATGATGCGCGGTCGCGTGGTGCACGAGACGTAAAGGCTTTTTTTTATTTATACCTCGTTACTCGTTACCGTCTCACTAGGTCCCTGTATTA